CCCTTTCGAAATGTTTTCCCATATCCCAACCGTACATCATCTTTAACGGTTCAAATTTGCACCATCTTGGGTTTCAAAAATAAAACAGAATTTTGAGATTGAAAAGAATTTGAGCTCCAAAGCATACATTTAGCCAAGAAAATTAATTTTGTCCAGAAATCTCAGTTAGCCAAGAAAAGGATGATGGTTCTCACTCTACAGATGCTTCAATTTATAAGAGCATGGTTGGTTCTTTGCTTTATTTATCTATAACAAGACTAGATATCATGTTTGCAACAAATTTGCTGTCGAGATTCATGAATTCACCAATTGAAAACCATCTTACAGCATCCAAACAGGTTCTGAGATATGTGCAAGGGACTACTGGATTTGGTTTGTTTTATAGAAAATTAAATAGTGTGAAGTTGTTGGAGTTCTCAAACAGTGATTGGGCTGGTTCATTGGACGATATGAAGAGCACTACTGGTTTTTGTTTTTCACTTAGTTCTGCTGTCATTTGCTGGGAAACAAGAAAGCAAGCTTCAGTTGCTCAATCAACTAAAGAAGGCAGAGTATGTTGCAGCATCTGCTGCCGTAAACCAAGCAATTTGGTTGAGAAAGGTGTTAGCTGATCTGAATTTTCATCAAGAAAATCCAACTAAAATACTTTGTGACAACAAATCAGCTGTTGCTATAGTTAGGAATCCAATCTTCCATGGAAAAACCAAGCATATAAAAATCAAGTATCGTGCAATTCGTGAAGCTGAAAAGGAAAATGAAATTTAGATTATTCATTGTTGTTATGAAGACCAAACAGCAGATATTTTCACCAAGGCATTGCAAAAGCTAAGATTTGAGTTTTTTAGGAATAGATTTGGTGTTTGTCTCAACTCTTGCATCAAGGAGGAGTGTTAAAGGTTATAGCTATAGCTCCATTGAAGTAAAATTGATGCAAGTATTGTTGATAGATTTTGGATGTATTTTGCTGATAAAGATAGTGTAGCTGATTGGAGATTATTTTGCTGAAGTCATTTAGATTTGTTGTACTTTGTTATCTTGTAATCTTCATCTCTTGTATTAGTTGAAGTCGAGTAGCAGCAGTTGAAAAATCTGTGATGTACCTTGGTTTAAGCTTTAGTTTAGAAGACAAACTTCTTTGATTTATGGAGGTTTGGTCAACAAACTTTAGAATAACTCTTGTATAAATAGTTTCATTATGCTACAATGGAGATTAGATCTTTTCTCTCTATACTTACATAATTCTCTGCCGAAGTTTCCTTCTCTTTCTTAATTCTCTATGCTTCTAAACCAACAGTCGGAATACCAGAATGCCCAAGTATCTCAGCCTCCTGTGACAAGGCCAACCAACAGGAAGAGGTGCGTTGGAAAGTTCCCGAGCCTGGGTTGATTAAAATGAATGTTGATGCTTCATTAAGATCAGGAGGGGTTGAGCATGGGTGTGGTCTGGGAATGGTGGCTCGCAACGATCGTGGAGAAGTGTTGGCTTTTGGTTCTTGTTTTCTGGCTCAAGCTTTGTCACCTGAAGAAGCGGAAAATGCAGCATCCATTTTTGGGCTTCGTTTGGCGGTGGACTCGGGTTTAACACACGTACTGTTAGAATTGGACAACAAACTAGTAGTGGACAATTTGTTAAAGCACTCAATTCCTGCTAATGAATGGGGTAGTAGATTACTTAATTTACAAGGCCGTACTGTCTTGTTCCAAAATTTTTCTATTGTCCATACTCTTAGAGAAGGTAATCAGGTTGCTCATCATTTAGCTAGTCTTGCTTTTGATTTAGATCATCAAGCACAAGTTTGGATTAAGGAGGTTCCTCATAGTATTCTGCCTTATGTAATGGCCGATTTGGCCTCTGTTATTCTATAAATTTTCCTATTTAAAATTAAATTTCAAACATTTTAAAAAACTAAAATTGGGTTATTTTATACATATAGAAAGTAATCAAAAACAAATGAAATTTAATTAAAAAATGCGATAAGAGAATAAGAGAATAATAAAATAATAGAATATTACATAATTAATATTAAGTTAATGAAAAAACTAATATAAAAAATCCCGTGCACTTATTGGTTTTTTCTTTTTAAACAAAATGATTGATTTCATAAAAATAAGGAAATGAGCTCTATACAAATATGAGCTCTTCAATATTAATAGAAAGAGCCTTTTTTTTTTTTTTTTCTTTTTTATAACCGGAAGGTGTAATCCCTCTCGGACTGTAGAACGTAAAGGTTTTGAGCTCTTCGGATATCGAATTTGTGTTCTCACTCTTACAGGGATTGAGGTCGCTTACCACTTCAACCAACACTTTGTTGGTATAGAAAGAGCCTCTTTAGCTAGCAATAGCTACTTTTTTTTTTTTTCTTTTAGGGTAAACAATGGCTACCTTATTACAATCTCTATATATATAAAATTGCCTATCGAGTTTTTATATTGTTGTGAGACGATATAACTAAACATCAGGTGAAAGAAAGAGAAAAGAAAATATATTGTTTAGCAAGATATAAAATCAAATAGCTAAAATTAGGTCTGATTTTTTTGAAAGGACAATTGAAATTTATAGCCTATCATGTATCAACCAGCTTTATTTATTTGCTCGAATACCATATAAATTGGGGGAAAAACAATTGTTTAGGATGGTTCTCATAAATTCTAACCTTCAAACTTTTTTTACTGAAAAAATTACAATAGTAAAAACTTGAATAAAGTAGAAAAAAAAAAAAGAAAAAGAGATAGAGAGATTTTTTTTTTCGCCATAAGTGAATTTCAAACAAAAAATAATAAAACCATAACCCTAAACAATACAAAGACAGATAATAACAAAGTTTAGAAAAAGAAAAATTAAAAGGTCTAACATTTACGACAAGGGATGACAACGGGTCGAGTACCCGCTTAAAATGTATTATTTGAACTTGAATCCGATTATAAATTAGGTATCCGAATCCGTTACAAATCCGTTTAGAAATTTACTTTCTGTATATGAATTTGTCCCGAATCAAATTATAATTACCCGTTTAAATATCCGAACACGTTTGAAATTAAAAATACATATTTTTTTTTCAAAAATCAAAAGTAAGTAAAAATTATAAAATTGTCATTTTGACTTAACAAAAATATAATATAAATATTAAATATAATTATAGCAATAATTATAATTTAAAAAGTGCATATATAACTTTATCTTGAGAAAAAAAAATTATTTTTTCATATTTTTAGAATATTAATTAAACGGATAACGGGCAGTAGATATCCAAAACCTTAAACCTGATCCCGACACGAATAGTAATACTACCTAAATTGATCCCAAATTCATTTATTTACTTTTTAAACCCTTCAAAAACAAATCCAACATACATCGGATCCGGTAAAATTGTCATCCCATTTACAATTATAAAAACGATGCTAAAGACAAGAGAGATGCATGTAATTTTCTCTTGCTAAACAATGACAGCGGCTTTTTTACTTGATCAAAGGGTAGCTTTAAAATAAATAGAAAATAAAAAATAAGGATTGTCTTACTTATGATTTATAATTTATTTTAAGTAGATTTTTTTAGGGTTGTGCATAGTTCCTGGGTCCAAACCGAACTGTAGAACCAATCCGATTCAAATGGGAATAAAAAAAAACCATTTTTAAGAATCAAAATCGGAATCGAGATAAAAAAAATTTATGTCTCGGTTTTGATTCTGGTTCTTACTAAGAACCTAACCGAAACTAAACTGGAATCTTATCGAACTCGAACCGAACTGAAACCGAACTGAGGAACTAATTAATAAATATATAATTTTAATTTTTGGATATATTATTTAATTTAAAACTTTAGAAAATTTGATCCTATTAATTGCTTATTTGTAATATTAATGGGTTTGGAAAATTATATGGGGATAAGGGTAGAATGTAAATTAGGTCATTGGTTTGTACTCTTTTCCTCCCTCCTTTTCTTATTAATGGGTTTGGAAAATTATATGGGGATAAGGGTAGAATGTAAATTAGGTCATTGGTTTGTACTCTTTTCCTCCCTCCTTTTCTTTACTTGATTAATTGCTTATTTGTAATATTAATGGGTTTGGAAAATTATATGGGGATAAGGGTAGAATGTAAATTAGGTCATTGGTTTGTACTCTTTTCCTCCCTCCTTTTCTTTACTTGATTAATTGCTTATTTGTAATATTAATGGGTTTAGAAAATTATATGGGATTAAGGGTAGAATGTAAATTAGGTCATTAGTTTGTACTCTTTTCCTCCCTAGCATGTTATGTTTGGATATTAATATGCTTGTTTGTCATGATTTCAAAAAATGCATAAAAACTATTTTACATCTTAATTAAGGTTAATCATATTATTGAGATTATGAATGAATGGACAATGAAAGAGACCGGTTTCTAACCGAGCGGTCCGGGTACCTAACACTTTCCTGTGACCGTACATAACTCTTACCTGGTCTCTGGTTAAAACTGAATTAGTCATTTCCAAATAAATGACTAGTTTGTGAATGTTTTCTTAAAAAGAATGGCAACTCCAAAAAATAAAGTTCTTACCAAAGTAAGAACCATTTTTAGAAAAACTTTTTTTAAAAAATAAGGTTATCTTTCCGAAGACATTAAAATGAGTCTAATAAGAGAAAACTGATTTGAAAAATTAAAATAAACCAAGCCTTAGTTTTTTTTTTGCATAAAACAACCCATATATTCTCATCTATTAATTCAAAATATTACACTACAAGTATCTCTATTAGAACTAAATCATGCTTGCGGATTTAGTTTGGGGGCATGTGATAAACCCGAGCCAGTCAACCAGTCAACAATTGCTGCATATAAAATTTTCATCTTTTAAGCAATAGCCATCGCAAATTTTGAATTAGTTGGGCAATTGCCAATTTATTTATTTGTTTTAGTTGGGCAATTGCCACTTTATTTATTCGTTGGGCAATAGCCATCGCTGACTTGAATCTTATTGGTTCTCACTCAACCACCTACATTATGAGTGTTTATTTGCATCTTTTTGACATTGTCTCCTCCTTTCTTCTGAAGCACTTGAATTTTTATGCGATGAGCATTTTCTGCACTAATTCTTTATTTCTTTATTGCTTAGCTATTGTTTCTCTTGATCTTCTTTACATATCAAAAGCTGAATCTTTTGATTACCCAACAGCAAACTTATCTACTACATGGACAAATAGCCACTCTCTTCCCCATTCAGTAAACTTCACCGATGGATCAATGGTGAGATCCATCCTTCTTAGAGGAACATTTGGTCCAAAGTTCGCTTGCGGTTTCTTTTGCAATGGATCTTGCAACTCTTACCTCTTTGCCATTTTTATTGTTCAAACCAATAGTGTTTCATATATAACTTCTCCTGCCATTGGTTTTCCTCAGGTAGTTTGGTCTGCCAACAGAAACAATCCTGTTAGCATCAATTCGACGCTACAACTCACGTCTGATGGAGATTTGGTCTTAAAAGATGTTGATGGAACTATTGCTTGGTCCAAACTCACGTCTGATGGAGATTTGGTCTTAAAAGATGTTGATGGAACTATTGCTTGGTCCACGAATACTCGTGGCAAGTCTGTTGCAGGCTTAAACTTAACTGATACAGGCAATCTTGTGCTTTTTGATAATAATAAGGCAATAGTTTGGCAATCTTTTGGTCACCCAACTGATTGTTTGGTTCCAGGCCAAAAATTGGTTTCAGGACAGAAACTTATTCCTAGCGTTTCTACAACAAATTGGACTCAACTAAATTTGCTTTCACTGTCTGTCACTGATGAAGGATTTTTGGCTGCAGTTGAGTCCAATCCGCCTCAGGTCTATGAAGAGTCTAGGGTTTATGGCAACAAGACGAATAAAGAACCAACTTATGTCACTCTCCGAAATGGAAGCTTTGCTTTGTTTGCCAATTCTTCAGAGCCAAGTGAACCAGACATCTTTATTCCAATTCCTGAGGCATCATCAGCTCAGTATGTGAGGTTTTGTCCTGATGGGCATTTCAGACTATATGAATGGGGAACAAATGGCTGGAAGGAAGTTGCAGACTTGCTTTCAGCTCCAGGTTATGAATGCTTTTACCCTACAGTTTGCGGGAACTATGGCATTTGCTCGAATGGGCAATGCAGTTGTCCTTCAACTACCTATTTCCAGCAAATAAATAATAGACAACCTAATCTTGGTTGTTCTACAATAACTCCTTTGACTTGTGAAGCTTCTCAGAATCAAAGTTTCTTAGAGCTTAAAGATACAACCTATTCTAGCTTTCGGATAGACTTTAAAAATGTTGATTCAGAGAGTTGCAAGATGGCTTGTTCAAAAAATTGCTCCTGCAAAGCTGCTATTTTTCAAGTTTCTTTAAATTCTTCTATTGGAGATTGTTACTTGCCAAATCAGATATTTACATTGATAAATAATGATATTGAAAAAACCCATTATAACTCTATTGTATACTTAAAAGTGCAAAACCTTCCTCTGAAAGCGCAAAACCCCCCAACTGCAGAAACTATAGCTCCTCATCAACAAAAGAAAAGCCGGGTAGCAACTATATTATGGTCCAGTCTTGGAGCTTTTTTTGGTTTGTTACTAACTATTGGAGTTGTAGTGTTTTTAATGTGGAGGAAAAGACATGCTGATGAAGATGAGGAGGATTTTTTGGATCAAGTACCAGGAATGCCTACGCGATTTTCCTACGATGATTTAAAGGCCATAACAAAAAACTTCTCCAAGCTGCTCGGCGAGGGAGGATTTGGCTCAGTTTTTGAAGGTACTCTAACTGATGGCACGAAAATTGCAGTGAAATCTCTTCATGATTTAGGCCAAATCAAGAAGTCATTCTTGGCCGAGATTGAGTCAATTGGAAGCATCCATCATGTGAATTTGGTAAGACTGCTTGGCTTTTGTGCTGATAAATCTCATAGGCTTCTTGTTTATGAATTTATATCTAATGGGTCTTTAGATAAATGGATTTTCCATAAAACCCATGATCTTTTTCTTGATTGGAAGCAGAGAAAAAAGATTATTCTCGATATTGCTAAGGGACTTACCTATCTGTGGAGTTGTAGTGTTTTTTTAAATATATGTGGAGGAAAAGACCTGAAAACCAATCTGATCTATCCGAAGATGAGAGAGGTATCTACTATTTGGATGCGAGTATCACTACCCCCAGGAATAGCCCCAACCTACGGCGGATTTTTACACTACGCACTCGATTTAATCACATTATGACCATATAAACAAAAAACTTCTCCAAGCTCGCTATACTGGCCGCACGCAAAGGAGGATTGCATAGACTCCAGTTTAATAAGAGGTCACCCATTCCCATTTCATTCACTAACCCTGATTAGGCAACCATATCGTTAAACCATAATAACTATGCACGTGAACAATAATACATCTATATAATCCTATCACGATTCTAATTAGGGCCAAATAAATAAACCTAAAAGTCCAATTCATCCTTAGCATAGGCCCGATAAGACTCATTTGAGATCAAAAAAAAAATTAGAGAAAGAAAGACATCCATAACCACACATCGCATGAAAATATTTAGCGCTAACTGTCAGTCCACTGGCTCTCGCGCACTCAATTTACATAGATCTGATTCCTCAACCTTCATATCATAATTACTTCTGCATAGGCTTCTCACATACGTATATTATTTATCCGAATTTAATATCTAATGGGTCTTTAAGATAAATGCCGCCCGCCACTCTCTATTCCTATATAAACCCATGCATTAATTTATTACTCATTAGATCTGCGACCAGGCAGAGAAAAAAGAATTACTCACACCTATCAGTACCCTCGATATTGGCTAAGGGCGACTTACTATTCATGGCACGATCATTGTGCAACCACCTTAGAAAAAACAAATAGCAATCCAACAAAAAATTATTAGACCCTCAATTAAAAAACCAACAAACCTACATCTATCCCATTCAACCACAAATTCAACCTACTACCCTATATATCACCACACTCAAGACAATTCATAAACCCTTCAGTAACTAAATTAAGCCAGATACACTATATGAAAGCGAAAATACTCCTCCACGAATTTTGTGGAAAAACTCTCATCTAACCACTGATCGATAGAGACCTAAGTCAAGAAACGTATAGTAATCAACCACCCCCATATGTACGCCAGCGCTCCACCCAAACCTCCCTTCCTCCGGGTATAACCTGCCGCTCCCACAGAAATGCCCGTTAGACGTCCAGGATTGAAATACCAGCAAAATCATACTATACACACTACGTCACAAAGAAGAGGATTATATAGAGAATAATAAACTTAATAAAGCTCTGGCATGTTGTTGTTTTGGAAATATTATGTTGGAAGAAGAAATGTTGATCCATTCTCAAACAGCAAGAAAGAAACGTCTCAATTTATATAGACCGCGCACAAGAGCTTTTCTGAGCCAAGAAAGCAACAGAGGATATAACACTTTTAGATATCCTGGTTCGCAACTCAAATCGCTCACTATAAAATATGATCCTGCCAAATAAACTCAAAATAAAAAGCCCAGACAAAAATGATGAAAGATGATTGAAACCATCTGCCCAGAATACACATCGCGAGTATTAAGCAGAGGAATTAATCACCCAAACCCACAATGAAGAGCGCCCACCCTCTTATTCACAATTGGTGTGCTCATAAAAGCTCATTCCCGGAAGGAGTTGGCCATCTGAAGTTTGAAAATACAAATCTAGATATAATGAAAGTGTCATTTACCTCCCAACCCGTAACACCCATTGGAAACAATCGGTAACAAAAAGAAGCAACTCACTCATGATGTTAGTCCGCCCTCCAGTAAACTTCACTATTATCTGGAGACACAAAGAATAAATATATTATTGCCACTGCTCCAAAAACGCAGGAACCTATTCTCCTTTTTATAATCACCATGAGAGGCACTCCTGGGTATCTGGCTCCAGAATGGTTGAGTTCAGTAATAACAGAAAAAGTTGATATATATAGCTTTGGAGTTGTTGTTTTGGAAATATTATGTGGAAGAAGAAATGTTGATCATTCTCAAACAGAAGAAGAAATGCATTTATTAGGGCTTTTTGAGAAGAAAGCAACAGAGGATAAGCTTTTAGATCTGGTTGATAATTGTATTAAAGATTTGCAATTACATAAAGCAGAAATATTGAAGATGATGAAAATTGCTGCTTGGTGTTTGCAAAAGGATTATACAATGAGGCCTTCTATGTCAATGGTGGTTAAAGTCTTGGAAGGAGTTGCAGAAGTTGAAAATAATCTAGACTATAATAATTTATCCCAACCACCATTGACAATGGTATCAAAAGAAGCTACTCTAGTGTTGCCCTCTATTCTATCTGGACCAAGATGACTACTATTTGCTGCCTTTTTTTTGTAAAGAGATGTATTTCATAGTTCAATTTCAATCGAATTTTTAATTTCAATTTCCTGCTATGTTTACTGTGGACATATGATGTATGAAAACCTCTATAGTCCGAAAACGTTTCCCGCATTGTTTTTCCAATATAAAATATCATTTTTCATGTGCATTATATTTTAAATGTCGTTTTTTCATATTATTTCTGTGTTTCTTTGTTTCTGTTTTATAGAGGTATTCAATTTCATATTATGTGGTACACGTGTTTTATATCTTGCTTTTATCATCCTTGTACATTAAGGTAGTTAATTTGGTTTAAATGAATTCAATAAAATTTTATAAAATCTATTTACAGATCCATTTTTTTGTATCATATAAATGGAAATTCATTTAGAATTCTACATTTTATCAAAATTTATAGAATTTGCAAATCCATTAAAACTTAAAAAGAGCACAAGCTATGAATTAATATAAGCTAATCAATTTTAAATATAAGCTAGTAGAATTATATATCTAATAGAAATTCTATTATTAATCCAAATATGAAATTCAGTTACCAATAAAATTAAATTTCTTAATTCATTAAAAAAGAAAAAATAAAGAAAAGTATTGGTATTTTTCATCTGTTTTGTATTATTTTGCAAATAAAATGAATTACATGTTTATTTATCCAAACATTGTGCAAGTGTTCAGTCAAAAAATTGGATAAAATCATACAAAACTATGAAAGTTTAGTTAAATGTTATATATATATATATATATAGAAAATTCATATATATAGAAAATTTCAATGCCTCCTTAGGCAATAGAAATTAATTAAAATATATATATATATATATATAGAAAATTCATGCCTCCTAGCATAGAAATTATTAAAACATATTGTTGATTATTTCAGAAATTTTCAATTCAAATATTTAAGTTTTAAATGGCTAAATGCTTATATTTATAATTTAATTTTAAGAAGAAAACTTTTTAACTCCGTTGACTTATTTAGGTTCATAAGTTTTTCATGACCAAAGTGGTGTTTGGTTTAGCTTAGCTTGACAAGTTAATTAAATAGGCTTAATTATAAATTTAGTGTCGTAACTATCTAATTTTTTCTATTGTGGTGTCTCAACCGAAAACATTTGCAATCAAGTGTTTAAATTTCAAAAATATTTTCAATCAAGTGTCTTCATCCTATATGTTAAACCGAAAAAACAAATAGGATGGGAGGTGTTGCGCCAAACTGAATTTTTTGATGACATGAAAATGAAAGTTGAGTTGCCAATTGGCGATTAGTCACTGTCAGTAGACTGAAAAATGGGGATTAAGCCTTTCGGCCATTTGTGGAAGAAACAAGTGCTGTTTGCGCATATATCCAAGATGTTATGATAAACCTATATGACAGTATCAGCCACTTAGGGACTGTCATAGCATAATGGACGTACTGTGACAACTTGGTCAATATTAACCTAGAAATCACTACCCTGATCATTTTGCAAGCGATCGATCTGAGGATCTGGTCTACACTTGGGGGCATGGTCAATCTAAGACTAAGAAACGAACCACCAGATAGAACCGACTACTTGAAAATATAACGGTCAGAACCTAAGGTTTGTGGGACTTGGACCTTGACGATAGTCAACCTTGTGGACAGTTCTTGCTTATCCCAAAGAAAGCATTTTAAATATGCAGCCGAAGTATTAACAAAATAATTTGGTATAACAAGCCACCGATCTTAAAATGTATTTAGGGGCGATATCATGGGAGACCTCCAGATTAGAATATCTGGAAGTTCGACCAATACATGCCAATGATTTATCATCGGTCTAAGGATATAATGACTGATTTAAAATATTGATAGAAGATTGGTCCTAATAAGTGCAAGTGATTCAAGACTGAACGACAAAAATGGCTTAAAAAAAACCCAATAATATGTATTAGATTAAACGTGCATGGGTACAATAAGGAAAACATATTAAGATCTAAAAAAATTAATTTCGTAGTGCTATGAGATTTCCTACGACTGGAAGACCATCTCAACAAACCTAGCATCATTCCACTCAGTAGACTCAATAAACAAATAGCCTACGGATAAACAACCTAAATCTTTTGAAAACCCTTTTTGGATCATATACCTCCTCCTCTATGAATACAGTCAAAGCAACCTGATCCTTGGCTACTATATTTCTAGTCTTATTTGCATCAAGCGGCCAAACCTGAATTCATATACCTCAACCAAGCTACCTAAAAATGGCACTATACTTTTCAAGTGTAACGTACATATCCTCCATGCTAGCCCGAAACCCGAATATGTGGGGCAAACCTTAAGCAAAACTTGAAAATCATAAAGCCTGAATCCCAGACAAAATCTTAGGAAATCTCGATCAATTTTTACTCACATAAGAGTCAGAACGGGGAAATACCATATTATTCAAAGTTCATTCTCTCGATTATCTCAAGACTTCTATCCACAAACACATATAGAGGTTCTCACAGCATCCAATGATAAAAAAAGGAAAGTGCATTTGCATTCAAATTTATGAGCCATACATAGTGCATGCATACATGACATCATACTTTACCCCAAAGCTAGCAATGCAGGTAATAAGATCAACACTTGCCAAGTGGCTCAGAATTCTCATCAAGCCAAATCTAGAATCTTCTATGAAAGTCAAGCAATTCAGCATTGAAGATTATATCGTGTACAACTTATGTTCTATAGCCTTAGTTTTAAATTATCCACAAGCATAAAAGTGTATATAGTACGATCCTCTCCAAAAGTAACACTAGGACAAAGTGAGCACGAAAATCAGAATGGCCTCCAAAGAGAGTCAAAGAAACTCAAACTCAAATTGCCTCCATAGAGAGCCCAAAAATCTCATATTGAGCCCAAATCACAAGCAATCCACAACGGGCAAAGAAACTACAAGTATACAGGTAGAGAAAAAAGCTACTAATCAAACAAAGCAAAGATAAAGAGTCAAACCAAATAGGACGAGAAGTCAATCAAAAATAGCTCCAAAGGACACTCAAGTCCAAGGTGTTCAGGCAGAATCAGGTAAAAAAATGATACTTTTAGAAATTGACCAAAATCTGTAGGATTGACCTATATTTTAGAAACAGACTCAAAACTGAAAACAGAAGCTAAGACAAATCATAAATAAATATATATATATATATATATATTTGTTAGGACTTGACCTATCAATTTTAAAAGAAACAGAAACGTCAAAGAAACTGAAACAGAAGCTAAGACAAATCATAAATAAATATATATATATATATATATATATATATATATGTATATGTATATGTATATAGTTCACTGCTGTCGCTCCTGTTAAATTATTTTTGACAATCGCAATGGAGACACTGTGAACACGTAATTTTTACGCCCTTATGATATATGTATAAGTCATGAAAAATCAATCGGTCCAAGAGCGTTCAAATTGGATACGAACTAGACATAAAACCATTAAGAGTCAAAGAACTCACAGATAACCTCTCCATTAGTTTGGTTATAGATGGAATTTTTCAGCAACTCGAGTTGGATTCGAAGCTAAACATCGAAGCTGTCTAACGAGATATAGAAATCAAACTTAAAACAAGAAAGAACAAACAAAAATTGTGCGAGATAAACTCTAAAATTGAGCTATATAAAAAATGACAGTCCAAGTCCGAGTTTTTCATTTATCCCAAATTGTAAATCCATGAATTTCACCTTCCAACCTTCTCTTATACAAAGGAAAGCCTAACTTCATCTCAAAACACACTAAGAAAACTTAGGTTGAGTTATCATTAGAGTTTTAAGGTTGAGTTATCAATTAAGAGTTTTCTTTTTTTTTTTTTTTTTTTCCGTCCCTCTTTTGAAATCTTATTGATTTCTTTTCTACCTGAGTCTAAGATCTATTGCAATTCGGCCTTAAAACTACTTTACAACTTTTCTCTTTTTATTCTAGAGGTAAGTTGAGTTGTTACTAGTCTTTTTTTTCTCTTAAATTGCGGTTTTGATTTGACCAAACAAGTCCCACGGTTCTCAAAGATTTTTTTTTTTTTTTTTTTTTTTTTTTTTTCCCTCCCTCTTTTGAAATCTTATTGATTTCTTTCTGCCTGAGTCTAGATCTTTTGCAATTCGGCTAAACTACTTAAACTTTTCTCCTTTTATCTAGAGGTAAGTTGAGTTGTTACTAGTCTTTTTTTTCTCTTTAAATTCGGTTTGATTTGACCCAACAGTCCACTTCTCAAAGCATCCAAGATGGAACTAAGATCTAGCCAAGCTCTTTCTCCTTCAAGATCAAAGAAGGCATAGGCAAAGCGCCATTATCAAATTCATTAAAGCAAAGAACCATCATCAAGTTCATCTAGCTAAAAAACCTTCATCAAGAAGAAGGCAAAGGTAAAGTAACTCTAAATTGCATTCTCTTCTTCTCTTTTGAACCACTAGATAAACAGAAATCCAAAACATGATTAAAATCAACCCTCCATGTCACAATGGATGGTTCTGATTTCCATTCAAAAGCACATTCAGGTATCTTTGAATTTGACTCAAAATTACTCTCTCTCTATTATTTTGGGATTTTTATGTAAAATAAATTTTCTTTATTCGCTTTTATTTTATTTGTTTATAATTTATTTATATTTTGATTATTAATTAAAGTATTCTAATGGATCTTATATTATGATTCATAAAATTTATTTTCGTAAGTTATATTTTACACCTAAGCCAAACTCTCTTTTTACTTGAAACTGAAAATCTATTCTCCAAATCCACTTTGATTCAAGTTATTAGTGCATTTTCCATCGACAAGTATCTTTTGGAATCATTTTTAGGGTTCTTGTTAACTTTTCTTTCACGTAATAATTAAGGTGGCGACTCTTTGACAGAAATCAAAATTTTCAAAAATAAAAACGACAGTCGTTTTCATCCGTGAGTTCAATTCCAAATATTTAGTAGACCGGATGCAGTGCTGAGTGGGATCTCACTGACTGTGTTTGAGTTTTTGAGTAATAGAGTAGCATGATGTTGGCACAAGGCAAGAATCTCCACTCAATTTTGGAAATTTTCTAAAACAAATTAAATATAAATAACAATGTTTTGAAATATTGGCTAAAAACCCCAAGGAAAAAAATTTTTCATTTTCAAATGAAAAAATAGAGTTTTCTTTTTCCATAAGGAATGGAAAAATCAAATATTAAGAAGATAATATATGATCCTCGATTCAAAATCTATGAAGCAAATAAACAAGAATGGAACTGAATCAATCAAAAGGAAATAAACATGCATTCCTCCACCAAAGTTCTTTTCCTTTGGGGTTCATATTGATCATATCCTCATAAACGAGAATGCAAGAACTATAAGCCTGTAATTCCGATTTATTATAAGAAAAAGGAAAAGGAAAGAAAAGACAACAAAATTCCAATTACAGAAAATGTAGTATAACATTGTGCACAAAAACAATCATTGGATAACCAACAGAACTTGCAGATTCAGAAAAAGAAAAATCCAGAAGCTTAAAGTCCAACCCATTGACGCTTTCAATCAAGAAAGAGCAAAAACAGTTCAAACAGAACTATAATCCCTTTTGAAATGTTCTCTCATATCCCAACCGTACACCATTGTCTTTAACAGTTCAAATTTGCACCAACAGATCTTGGGTTTCAAAAATAAAACAGAATTTTGAGATTGAAAAGACTTTGAGCTCCAAAGCATACATTTAGCCAAGAAAATTAATTTTGTCCAGAAATCTCATTAAAATTCAAATAAACAAGCCTTTCTACATTCATATGATTTTTTTTTTTTCTTTTTGGTTTGGTGAGATTTCTAATAGATATTAATATTCACATAAACTGTAAGAGAAAAATTGTAGCATGGCTTGACCAACAATATTGAGGCAATCTTTGTGAGATGTATAGCAGTTATAATTAACAAATAAAAAAAAATGATCTGTCAAAAAAATTGAAAAATAACAGGAAGAAAGAATGATAGCCCAATATTTGATGCCAAAATTAGTGATTTAATATAAATATCAATACGTTTCTTTGATCTAACTCACAAATTATTTTAGAGAAACAGTTCGCCTGTAAACTACTTCATCATCACTTTCCTCTTCCTCATCTGATACAACCTCATACCCTGGTAAATCTAACTTCCCACCCATAGCGAAAGATGGACCGAGACTCTCTGTTTCAATATAATCACCTTGCAATCTTTCCTCAAATCTCTGGTCACTACAATTGAGGAACCAATTCAATGAGCATCTGATCCCCTTGTTTTGCAGCCTCTGGTACCTTGGCTTTATTCTGGATTCTAGACTATAGGTAAAATATTCAGGGAAATCCACGAGCTCTTTCAATGGCCTCCCCATTTCACTCTTGTAAAAGTAATAGCTATTCTTCATAAGTGGAACTCTCAATGCAACTAACTGTGGACATTTTACTATCATTTTTGCTACATCCTCGAATGGGATTCCTCGGCCCAAAAGGAATTCAACAGGTTTTATGATCACATTTTGATTAAGACTAACAATCTGCGGCATTTTCTCTATCACTTGTGAAAACCCTTCAGGATTGATCTTGAGCTTCAAGCTGAAGAAGTACTGCTGTGAAGATAACTTAGCTTTCAAAGGCAATCCAAGAATTTGTGGATATTGTGCTATAACTGAAGGAAGTGATTCCTTACTGATTCCAAAACTAATTAAACAGTCCACATTCGGCTTAACAATCTCTTCAAGATCATATCCAAGTAAATAAGCCCTCTTCTCCATCATCCTTGCCACTATTTTCTTTGGCAAACCCAAAGACACCAAATAATCAACAAGTGGCTTAATCATAGTCCCTACTCTCATCCCTAAAAAGTAAGGATATTGTGTCACCATTGGGCCAATATCTCTAGGATTAACACCAATGCTTACAAGATAAGCCACAGAAGTACTCATAGTCCCTTCAAGCTTGAATCCGAGAAGCTCGGGATACTTTTGCAAAACAAACCCAATATCCTGTTTCTCCACATCTAGCCCACGAAGAAACTTAACAACTGGCATAAGCTCAACAACAACACTAGCGTGCAACACTTGTGGATAATGCTTAATGAACTCCCCAAGTTTTGACCTACTAACGCCAATCTTTTCCAGATAACCTAACACAGGTATCATATTTTTCCTCACACTACATCCTAACATCAAAGGGTACTCATTAATATCATCAATGGTTAATCCTAACTTCTGCAAGAACTCAACACGCCCCTTCATCACCTCCACAGTAGATGGAAGCTCTAAGCTTTCTAATTCATCAGGAATTATCCCCAAAGACTTAAGGTAATCACATATAATAACACGATTAACAAGCTTTTCCCTTTTGCCTTGGACCACACCCCAAGTGACCGAAGGCATCTCATATTCAGGGAACTTTGAAGTCTGTGTTGAAAATGAAGCACCGATTTTCAAAACCCTAAAAGGATTTTCTAATTGAAGGTTTCTGGGACATGGGTTTTCGGGGTTTTTGATTAAAGACGATAATGAAGCGGATTTTGTGGAAAGTTGTGGAGCAACGGGATTGATTAATAAAGTTAATAAATTTCTTCTTCTATGCAAAGATAAACCCATGTTATCTAAAATCGAATCAAAAATGAAAGATGGCTAAAGTGGTGCACAGAAAAGAAAACTGAATTGAAGTTAATACGAGCAAGAATCTAGTTGTGTTCATTCTTTTTGTAGACTTTCTTGTATGCAAATAAAAAAGGAGGAGGGAGGACTAACCGCATTCTGTAGAACTCTTGAAGTCGCCAACGGACAGCAAATCCCTAACAAAAACCGGAACCTTTAAAATTAATCTCCCTATCTAATCGTTAAGTATTTGTCTGGAATTTCATGAAAACCTAAACTATGTCAGACTATTAAAAACGACAAACACAAACTAAAATTCAAAAAAAAAAAAAAAATTAAATTCCCCTATCTAATCGTTAAGTATTTGTCCTTGGAATTTTCATGAAAACCTAAACTATGCAGAGATCTATTAAAAACGACAAACAAACTAAAATTCAAAAAAAAAAAAAAAAAAAAAAAAGGTAAATAAAACAAGGGAAATTATTATTTAGTTCCTCGGGTTTTACATAATTATCTAAATAATCCCCGACGTTTAATATAATATATAATTAATCTCTGACATTTTACTCCGTCTAATTAAAAGGTCCTTCCGTAAAAAAACTTGGTGTTTTACCGTTAAAATCAGTTAAAAACAAAGAGAGACATTTTATAAGGACACATTATGCCCTTATTGAACTGTGCATGAAAATAAAGGAGATTTGACCATATTTTATTCTTCCAAAATGTAGAGAGGGGAACAGAGAGGGGAAAACACCCAAACCCAAAATAGGATTTGCAGGTAACTAGAGAAAGATAGCCTACATGTCTTCTTCAAGCGCAGCCGATGGAGCATGGGAAGGAAGTTCAAGCGGCGCCCGATGGAAGCATGGGCAGGAAGGTATGTGAATATGTATTTGCAAGTGGTGGGAAAAAAGCAGGCATTAGGATCTCAGAGACACAAAAAAACAAAAATCCGAATGTATTAATTACTGTTATTGAAATTACTGTATTGAAAATGCATGCGAGTCTTTCCTTGGATGGTGTAAAGCTATAGATTCATCAGATCGATCTCAAGGAAGCGATTTGGAAATGAGGCAAAGAAGTGTAGCTATTGACTTGTTTGAATTGAAGGAAGAGATGTTGTATCTGAAGAGGGAGATGATGAAAATGTACAATGAGATTATGACGATTGGAGGAAAAAGGAAGTGCTTGGAGTTGGAGATTGGCAGCTTGAAGAAGTTGATTTTCATATGCTTGATGGCTATCATGATGCTTTTCACCTTACTTGTAATTTTGCTCTACAAGGGTAACTAAGGATTGTGATTTTTTTTTTTTTTTTTTTTATTTTTTTTTTTTTTTTTTTTTTTTTTTTTTGTATTTAGGGTAGTGTTGGGTTTAGTTTTTGTAGTTTTTTGTATTTTTTTTTTTTTTTTTTTTTTGTATTTAGGGTAGTTTGGTTAGTTTTTGTAGTTTTTGTAGTGGGATGTGTTAATGTGGTGGGTTAATTGTTGAATGTTAGTGACTCAAGTGGGCACATCCAATTTGCAGATGATTTGAATGTAATATAATTTCTATAATAAAATGTGTACTTATTAACTTCAAAGTCGTTTGGTGTTAAGTATAGCAACTGCAAAGCAAAAATAATATAGAATATTTTTCTAGTTGTAAATATTTCCAATACAGAAAAGACAAAAGACAAAAACATGTTACATAATGTGCATTACAAAAAAATAAGAATTCAAAATTGGCTCCCATGCAGAAGAGTGGTTACAAATAGTTCCATTGTCATTAGTCAAATGTTTTCAATTCACAAAAGACAAAAACAACGTATTTACATAATGTGCATAACAAGAAAGAACTCAAATCAAACTTGGTCCACATGCAATGGAGTGTTTTCTATAACACACTTGCGTGTTTGCTGTTAAGAAAAAGACAAACATAAAGAGGAAAAAAAAGTGAAACATTTGTTCCTGTTCTTGCTAGAAAATCAAAAGATTCGTTATTCTCCCTAACTGTGCAATATGTTCTCAGCAGCAGCACCTGTTCCCACAAAATGCACATAGCAAGATCTCCATACTGCAACATGTGAAGCCCAAAATACCATCTGCAACACCTCAACAACCCAAAAGAACATCTGCATCATATGAGTCCACAAAAAACCATCTCCCAAAGCCCAAAATACCATCTGCAACACCTCAACAACCCAAAAGAACATCTGCATCATATGAGTCCACAAAAAACCATCTTCAACATTTGAACAAAAAAATCAAGTCTGCAACATATCAACAAAGAACAAAAAATGTCTATTCAAGACATAGGAGCTCCTCTCCCTCTCAAACTAGAAGCTCCTCTCCCTCTCAAACCAGAAGCACCTCTCCCTCTCAAACCAGAAGGACCTCTCCATCTCAAATCAGAAGCACCTCTCCCTCTCAAAGCAGAAGCACCTCTCTCCCTTGTTGCAGCAACACCTCTCCCTTTGGAACCAATAACACCTCTTCCCATAGCAACAGCAGCACCTCTTTCCACAATAGCAGCAGATCCAGATATTTTTTTTTCCTCCTCTTTGTACAAGTTGTTTGTTCCTCTAATAAAACAAATGGCACGTACATTTAAAAACAACATACTATAAAAAAATATAGTAAGTATTCAGATTGCAAAAGTGAATCTGACTTGAGATATGGCTGGTGGGGCTTGCTCGTATGTTCTTTTATTATGGCCAAGTTGCTTGCATGTCACACACCTAACTGTCCAAGATCTTTTTGCTGTGCTTGGATGAGCTTCTTCCTCTTGAAGTATTCTCCTTTCTTTTGGTCTACCAGGCTTCTTTTTAACATTTGGAGGCTTTAGGACTGGAAATTCAATTTGGGGTGGGATGACTGACTCCTTTATAGGCCTTTATATACTTCTCTATTGTGAAATACTCATGACAAAAGTCTTCAAGATTGAGTCTCATGTATCCAAGTGCAATCCAAGCATGTTTACATGGAAGACCTGAAATGTCCCAATAATTGCAGGTGCAAGTCCTTTTCCCAATGTCAACAGCAAAAGCCACAGGCCTCTCTCTTACCTCAAACTCATTATTGTTACTTGGTAGTATCTTGCATTGTCTAGATTCTTTTATCAATATGTTCAATGCACTCTTGCATTTTGGAGTTACTCTCCCTTCCCAAGTAGTAGCCATTGCAAACCTTTTATGAAGCCTAACCATACATTTCTACCTAATAGAGTCTATTAGCTCAACAATTGGATTGTTCCTCTAGTTTCCAAGCCAGCTGTTGAAACTCTCTCTTATGTTATTTGTCACATCAATGCTAGCTGCTAGATGAAAGGCATATCTAGTCCAATGTGAAAGAGGAATATCCAGTAACCATTTTGCAGCCCTTCCCTCATTCTTAGCCTCAACATTCTTCATATGCTACTTAAATGCATAACTATACCATAAGTAGACACCTTTCCATCTCACCCTAAGCCAATCGTGAGAAGAGCGCATTAACCAAAATAGAAGACGAAAGCCTCCAAACCTCCTCTCTCTATAAAACTCGTCATAGTACTTCAATGGCTAGAGTGATTCCCAAGTGGGAGCGAGAATAAAGGGCACTTTCATATCATTGGAGAAGAATTGCACATAGAGAAACGACCTTTTCATTCTCTCTTATATCTATTACTAGATAAAGACCGAATCCAGTTAATGACCTTCCCAGGAGTGTCAACAGGCCACACAAGCCCACAGGCCTTCCTTCCTTGCTTTACCTCCAAACGCATTTGTTACTAGTCATCGCGATACTCGCATGCTCTTTAGATTCTGTTAAATTCAATATGGTTTAATGCACTCTCCAACTTGACGGAACGTCCGCCCCTGTTAAGCCCTGTTCCTAAATTCATCTGGCGTTCGAGCTATTTTTCCGCAGGACCTCCCCTACAGAAATCTTTATCATCACGCAGCCTGATGAGAATTAAACCATACTCAATCACAAAAGTTCGGGCATGGTAACCCCCATTAATAGGTGTCGAATCCCTTTCACGTTAACGCAGGCCGTTAAACATACCAGCAAGCTACTCAAGTAAAACCATGTTAGACGCCCAAGGCACAACTGACCATCCGAGAGAGAAGACGTAAGATTGAAACTATGCAATGTGCCTCAGTGATTGTGATATATGGCCCAACTAACATATCACATCACTAGATATTAATCTGACTGATAAGACTAGGGAAAGAAGGCAAACCGGCACCAGACAGCGCCCACCCGCCCTTCCAATCCCTCGAAAGATCATAAGAGGCCCGAGGGCAGAGCTTTCCTTCTCATTAGTTGTCTGTGATCCACAAGAGCTCAAACAGTCTTCAAAGCTACTAAAATATTAAACGAGCCTGAAACAATAAAAATAGATGCGCGACGTGCCTATCGAATTGATCGGGTCAGTAAAGGCCAACAAGCGTTCCACAAGGCCAAATCTATTATCCGGCCGCGTCTTTCCTAACTGCATAGCACTCACAGCATGCGCCCATTGAGAACATCAATCTCCGTTCACTTTGATCACAGCTTTCTGACACCTAATTAACGCTAAATAAAATAGTGATCCAAACCAATAGATGTGATGGAACATGCAAACCCCGGGCGCCTGGGCTTCGTTCTCAAGCCATCACCATGGTCCTGAGATCTCCTCTCAAACTGGTTTCTCAAACAGAACCATCTATACTCCCAGCACGATGTCACAGAGAGAACCCGTGCAAGAGCTAGTCAGTCGAGACTTACGTTCGTAGGCGCGAAGGGTTAACTATGGAGGCGCGTGAATTGTCTGGGAATTAGTCGGAGAAGAGGCGAGAACGTTCTCCTCTTAGCGGCGCGTGGGCTCTTCCTAGGCGTGATAGTCAACTGAGCTCGGTTCACCGCTTATACCTGGCCCGACACTGTCACTAACCATCCGAGGTTACACAAGTGGGACAACGCAATATATAGCTGGTATGCACCAAGAGGTGTCGACAGTCCTACCGGTGCCACACAAAGGGGCCAAAACGCGTACTAGAGAGAAAGACTACCTCCCCCATATGCTACTACCACCCACACTCCTATGCGGACCTAACCATTGTCTCACGACGATAATAACATGCAACAAGCTCACGTAACCTCTCCACAATATGAGAGGGCGCAAGCAGCACACCACCCCTAAGGAAACATAACTACAAGCACCCCACCCAGAGGCGAAGACACCACAGACATCACGAGGAAAGTGACCGCAACAAGCACCTCCCACAGAACCCGACTCGCGAAAGCTCATGTGCGAAGATGGCATGCCCAACATACGAAGTATCCCTAA